CAGACTCCCAGGAGGCAACATGTGTTCTGCATAAACATATTGCTTGTGCAGTCAGTTTTGACACACAGACAACCTTGTAAACAGGACTTTCAAGGGACAGTGGTTAGGCCTGCTGTGTTTACTCTTCTGTAGCCAAGCTCTTTGGCTCATTTCAGTGCAAAAAAATTATCAGTAGGACCCACACATCAGTGTGAGACAAACTTACAGTACTGACTGAGTGATGCCTTTAGGGGTCCTGGACTTGTTAAAATCAAGGTCTATCTTAGAAAGCCAACTGACTTCCTCCTTAAATTTCTATATCAATCCTTTCTACCTAGCCTGAGTTATTAAGTCTGATACAGCACAACTCTGGCCAGTAATGAATGCTGACATTAATGCCTTCCACATCTCAGGCCGTGTCATGACAGGCTGTGCACATGATTACAATCCCAAAGGCCACACAAGGTACTGTTGGAAACAAAGAATTTACATCTGTCAGGGCATCCCAAGCAGGACATATATTAGTCAGGCAGTGAAGGTTAAAAGACTCCCGCCACTATGGGGCCTCCTGCCCTAGAATGCTCAGTCCAAACCAAATAATTTAGTTTAGTCCTTGATTTCAAATGGCTTGCTTGTCAGGGCCGGCCCGTGGCTCACTCGGGAGAGTGTGGTGCTGATAACACCAAGGCCACGGGTTCGGATCCCATATAGGGATGGCCGGTTTGCTCACTGGCTGAGCGTGGTGCTGACAACACCAAGTCAAGGGTCGAGATCCCCTTACCGGTCATCTTTTTAAAAACAAACAAACAAACAAACAAAAAATGGTTTGCTTGTCAATGACCTTCACAAAAAACTTATCATCTTCATTAGTGTGGCCCTCTAGTTTTTCTATGTGCAAAGCACAGCAGCTGGGCCATGCCATGCTGTCTCATAGCATGTCAAGTGTGATCCTGGCTCAGCAGTCAGTTTGCACTCAAAACACACACAGCAGTTTGGAAAGGCAGCACAGGGAAATTTCCTTCAAGAAGAGGAAAAAGCTTGCAGGGAACATTCTGAAAAGCAAGATTAACAATAACCTCTGGCCTCCCCCAGTCACTTCCTCAGATGCTGTTCTTTTGGATATTTCCCTGTGACAGAATCACCGTGTCCCATTTAGCAATCAACTTTACATTTCAACAGCTCCCACTGTCATCCAGACCTTTCTTGTAGAAGGGTTTTACAGAGGAGGAACAAAGGGTTTCTGCAGAAAAACATTTTTGTACAACTTACTAAGACATACAATATTTAAGAATTGGTCAAGACAAAGGCTGAAAAAAATTTTTTAAATGGCTTTACATACCCCCCCGCCTTTTTGTCCTGATCATTTATACAGTGAGTGGCCTACAAAAGACCAATCTTTGTGGGAGACAATTACCTTATAAGGTGTGTGTACCAGGAGGAAGGTGAGGAAAGTAGGGTTAGGCTATCAGTCTGATGTTACAAACTGCTATGAATCCAGAAAGCCAAACACAAGCCAATAGCAGTGAGACATCCCCAAGAAGGGGGCTGAGAGTCGAATGTCAGAAGTGGGTGGAGAGGTCACAGTGCCTGAGTTATACCCTCCCCAAACTCCAGCTCTTGACAGCAATCACAATTTAGCAATGGAATCAGTCTCTGTGTCCGATGACCCCGCTACCATTTATAAAATTTCAAATATTTAACATTTCATGTCAACTTTAACATCCATTCAGATGCAAGAGCCACAAAATAGAAAGGCTTTTATAAAATCCCCTTCCCGCTTTTTTAACCATTGCAAATGCACTCAAATCCCTAGCAGTAAATCCAACATTTATAGCACTAACGTTATGGCTGTCAAGGAAGATCCTGGTGGGAATTTAAGAGAAGCTGGGGAGAATGATCTGCTGCTGCAGGAACTAGGCTAACATGCAACTTGCATTTTTTTAAAATAAGAATTTTAAACATTAACACCTACATCCTGTGGGCCACATCAGTGGGAAGCCTCTGATCAATGACACCCGTGTTCAAACCCATGATCACATATCACAGGGCCTAAAACTTTTAATCACTGTAATAACAAAGCTGAAGCATGCCCCGTGTTTATTTTTATGGGGAATTATTACAGTCAACTTCATGAATGCACAGCTGTGTATGTATCATTCCCCACTATGTACAAACACTCCTGAGCATTTATTTCCTCAGTTAATTTAAGATGTATTAGGCGGAAGTATATAAATCAGTGATGACATCCTCACTGAGGCTACTACCGTCCATAGGGAAAATAAACAAAACATCCCTACATTTCCTGTCATCTCACTTGTCATAGTTTACTTTCCTGCAAAGCCCTTACTTCCTTATAAATCAAACCTTTGCCATTTGTTAACTATCTCTGTTTTTTTCACAAAAAAATAAGAGCAAGGACTCTAAGGACTTGTTTGTTTCCTACCTCTATATCCAGAGCCTACAATATCTTGATTAGTTTATTGTGGACATTTTGAGACTGAAATGCTTCGTATATGAGGGATGCTCAAAAGTTAGCATGTCAGAAATACAGACTCTGTATAAGAAAGGCTGGATTTGAACTGTGATCCTGTCTTTGGCCCTCACTAGGTTTGTAATCTCTGGCAATTTACTAAAATGTAATCTTTCAGTATTTACCTTATAAAGTTTGATGAGTAATTGAACTTATATATCTTAACTGTTACTTCTTAGAAAACAAAACACCATCTGATATACACAAAGAAATATTTCAACGTTTAGATAATCAGCAAGAAAGACAAAAGTACCCCAGAAAACTGGGAGCTAGCCAAGTTTTCTTTTTTCTTTTTTGTCTTTTTTCGTGACCAGTAACGGGATCGCAACCCTCGGTGTCGCGCCTGCACTGCGCTCAACCAGTGAGCAGACCGGTCTCTATATGGGATCCGAACCCTCGGCAGGAGCGCTGCCACACTCCCAAGCGCCGCCCTCTACCGAGTGTGCCACCGGCCGGCCCGAGCCAAGTTTTCTACTGTTAAAGAGAAACAATTTCATGGAAACTGTCTTTTACTAACTGGCTACTTAGTAAATACAATGGGTTAAGATTATTAAAAAAGAGCACTCTGCAATCATGTCTCCAAAATTCTAACAAAGAAAAAACTCTGAACCACAAAATGACCAAACATTCCCCTCTTTTCATGAATGTGACCAACTGCTATTTCTCTGCCACTCCATTCTTTCTGCCTTCTAAATAAGAACTATTATGATTCCCAGTGATAGAATTTTGTTAATGACCTGAGAGCATCCAATCCAGAGACAGCCTAACTTCCTTCAATGTGCATCCAGCTCACCTAACACAAGCCCAAATCTGATACCATGTCCTTTTCAACACTCTCCAGCTAATACAGCCTACAACCCTTCATGGTGTGTGGTTATCCACATTTTGGTAACTAAGTATATCCAAGTTTCCTTGAGAAAATGTGTGGTTAGCATGTGTTGTGAGGAGGTCTATGGTAGATTGCACTGACTAAGTGAAAAGCTTTTACTATCATGAATGAATAAGTTATGTTAAAGTCAATAGTTTTAAGTAAATAAAAAGGAAAATAAAATTTACCTTGAAGAAAAGTGTGTGGGGCTGGCCAGTTAGCTCAGTTGGTTACAGTGTGGTATTGTAACACCAAGGTCAAGGGTTCAGATTCCCTTAATGGCCAGGTGACATAAAAAAAAAAAAAAAAAAGCATGAACTCATAACTCAGAATATACCCGGTAATACTGACACAGAATAAGTAGTACCTAAATTGACAAAATTACAAAGTTGATTTCACACTCTATAATTGCAACAGAATATTGCAATATATCATCAAAGTAAATGAAAAGTAAAGAAAATAACACCTGTTAGTGTACAAGTTATCTCAACACAGTTGATAGGATATTCCTAAGAAACACCTACAGAAAGTTTCGTTTGACAAAAAAGTGCATTTTTTAAATAGCACGTCATAAAAATAATTAATTGGACACATATTGAGGGGTCACACTCAGTTTTTGGTTTTTTTTTTTAAAGATGACCGGTAAGGGGATCTTAACCCTTGAGTTGGTGTTGTCAGCACCACACTCTCCCAAGTGAGGCACAGGTCAGCCCTGCACTCAGCTTTAAGTAATACAAAACTCCCACAATCTGCCTGACTTATGAGAAAGGTGATTATTCGCTCAAGCAAGGACCAGCTCAGAGCAGTCATTCAACAATACAGTGCAGGAACAAAGTACCACGTATTTTGTTGGCTGCTGTGTAGGCTGTCATGGTTGAATCAGAAATGAAGAGCCTGAGGCTGGCCCATGGCTCACTTGGGAGAGTGTGGTGCTGATAACACCAAGGCCACGGGTTCG